GAATGAAAAAGAATTGCCCGATCTGCGTTTCTATACTATAAAAGGGGCGATCTACATTGCCCATTTTTGGTAATGTGTCCGACTGAATTATTAAAACGAAAATATTTAATAAATCTTATCGTTATTATTATTTATAAATAGTCATATTAAATTATAGTTGATTTTAAGTTATATTTAGTAATGGCTTATTTATTGTCGGTCAAAACGATAGTGAGATCCGACAATTGTCACATGAAATTATAAAAAATTAGATCAGTCTAATTGTAACATAGGGTGTCATTAATCAAATGCATATCGATATTACTTTTCGTTAATAAGAAATGCGTTTGATTAATGCAGTAATGATACCCTATGTTACAATTAGACATGACTTATTTTTTATAATTTTGTGTAACAATTTGTCAGATCTCACTATGCTACGTTTTTGATTGATGACGCATCATATTATATTTAGTTAAATTAAATAAATTGATTTTATATAAAATTCAAAGCGATTCAAATTTATTTTATAAATTTATAATACAGTATGTCGGAAGATTCAGATTCTGATGATGATATTATTACTGAATTAAATTTTAACGAGAAAGACAGAGCAAAATTTGGATATATTAAATTAAAAGAAGAATATGAGAAAGCTGAAAAAAATATACATAACAAAAATAAATTGATAATAATCAATTATTCTGTGGCTTTTTTCGTGATAATTTTTGGAATATTATTATATTTGTTAATAAAGAACAATTTACTCGGAAAAGTTGGATCTGTTATTCTTTCTAGTATTGCTAGCATAATTGGAAGTGTAACTCCAATAGTGTCTGTTTCTAAAGAATTTGTAAAAAAACCTAAAAAAGATGATTTAGAAAATTTAGATATTTCAAAAATTGATATTTCAAAAGATCTTGTAACTAAATGCAGCAACAAATATATACTTGAATATACTAAACAGTTGAAAAGAATAAATATTAGAATTAGGAAGGTTAATCATATAAATTTAGGTTTTATTATTGTAGTATGTTTCTGCATTTTTATTGTAGCAATTATTTCAATTATGGCTAATTTTGGATTTTTTAGTTTTACATTTCAATTCGATCAATTTTTTTCATTAAGTATTTTAGGTTTTGGTATATTTTGGTTTTTATACACTAGCATTTCAATTTTAATATTAGTTATTTTAAGAAAACAAAAGTTTTTAGGTATGCTTCCTGTTGATATATATTATATTAAAGATAGGAAAAAAATTAGACATATTTTATTATTAGTGAAGATGAGTGATCAAACAGATAAATTAAAAGATTCAGATATTTAAAATATACAATAAAGAAATCTGTCTGTGAATCTGCACATTGATTGGTTATTTATTCATGATTTGATTGGTTAAATTAAATCATGTGCATACTGTACAATTAC